TTGATCTGTTGGATCAGCTCTTCGAGCGTCTGTTCGTTATGCTTCCGGAGTTCGTGAAACTTATTGACCACTTTGTCCACCTCTTTCTCCACGTTCACCACCGCATCGCTCATCGCTGTACCTCTTCCTCGTCAGTGAACGACACACCACTGGTCACCACTCGATGGCTATACCGGGAGACCAATCAACACAATGGCCAACAAATACACCACCAAATGAGCGCTGATTGTGGCCACGGCTTCGGCAGTGAGAGTGGATCAGCTCACGGGTGACAGTGAAGCGATCGCCACAACACACACACCACTCAAACGCTAAACACAATTAAACTATTGATTAAACACTTGTTTATAATTAATAATTAAATAAAACTATTATTTATTTACACAATAAATACAAAAAAGTGTTTATAAATGGCATTCAATTCGCACTCAAAGCACACAATCATATGATTTAAAGGTCTATTCAATTGTATTTGTTTTGCACATCAAATGCCAGTGAAATGTATGCAATGGTTAGAGATCTTTGTGTTGTTTTGTCACTCACTATAGTATTGCCATCTATTGGCCACTCATTAGTCAACACAGACTTTGCGCTCAAACACTGATGTAAATAAATGCCGGTAAACACCTCTACTGTCAAAGTGTTTGCTAATGAAAACACATGTTTTCAAATGAAATCAATATTTGTTTTGTTTTTAACCGCAATTGACGGCCAAAACTGATCCCATTTTCGGTGACCAACCGCTAAGACCCGCAACCGTTTCCGGCCAGACATCACTCACCACCAGAAGAGATCACTCGCGAAGACAGCGGTTCCCTCTTCGGCACCACAACAACACCGGTTTCTCTCAAACCGCTTTCACTAACGGCCAGACAATGATCCCGTCCTCGACGGCCACCGCCTTTGTGTCGGCCACCAAACAGCACTTCGAGGCCAACAGTCGGGTTCGGGACATCTCTGCGCACACCTCTAAAGTGCATTCAGTGGACTGGAACTGCGACGGCCGAAGACTCGCGTCGGGAAGTTTCGACAAAACCGTATCGCTGTTCGCACTCCAGAGCCAGTCGTCCGATCGGCTCAGCAAAGAGCACACATTCAAAGGCCACTCGGATTCCGTGGATCAGCTCTGTTGGCACCCGAAACAGCCCGACCTGTTGGCCACGGCGTCGCTCGACCGCACAGTGAGGCTATGGGACGCGCGGACCACCAAATCGGTGGCCACCGTTCAGACGAAAGGCGAGAATATCAACATCTGTTGGTCACCCAATGGCCACACGATTGCCGTCGGCAACAAAGAAGATTTGGTCACTTTGATCGACACGCGAACCCATAAGACAATGGGTGAGCACTCGTTCAAGTTTGAGGTGAACGAGATCTCGTGGAACAACGACAACGACCTGTTCTTCTTGACGTCAGGTCAGGGCCACGTCCACGTGCTGTCGTACCCGGAGCTACAGCCGCAGCTCGTCCTCAACGCACATCCGGCCACTTGTATTTGCATAGAGTTTGATCCCAACGGCCGGTACTTCGCCGTGGGTTCGGCCGACGCGATGGTGAGCCTCTGGGACGCCAATCATTTGGTGTGTTTGCGTACGATATCGCGTCTGGAATGGCCCGCGCGTACCATAAGCTTTAGTTTTGACGGCCAACTCTTGGCCTCGGCCTCCGAGGACCTGATGATCGACGTGTGTTATGTGGAGACCGGCGAACGCGTCACTGAGATCGCCACCGAAGCGCCCACTTTTACGGTCGCTTTCCACCCGAAGCGGCACCTCTTGGCCTACGCCTGCGATGACAAAGACTCGTATCAAAGAGACACCGGAACTGTTAAAGTGTACGGCTTTCCCAATAATAGCTGAAGACATTCCACGCGTCTAATAATTATAATCACCGATTGTTTTGTCATTATTTTATGCCTCAATATGTCGTTCATTGCAAACATTTTTCTCGTCATTTCATTTGATTTTTATTGTATTTAAAGTTAAATTTAAATAAATGTTTGATTTTTTCCGTAAATTGAGTATAATTTATTGTTCACTATAACGTGAAGTTCACTATAGTATAGTGACTATACTGTACAACAAAATAACACAATTGAATTGAATCGCTATATTTATTGCAGATTTTATTATTTCAAAGTCTTCTTTAATGGGAATAAGAGTTTTTGAGAAAAACAATCAATGAATTCAGATATCATTTCAAAAACAAAAAACAATATTGTCTTCAATTTAATCATTGATGGCATCAGTTGTGATCCACTTAACGGCTGAAGAACAGTATGGCAACAGTGGTGGCGATGGCGGCCACAGCGACGGCTATCCAACAGCACCGCCGGTCGAGACCACCGCCAGGAGGGGCCTCATCGGCGGCGGGAGCGGCCACTGCGGGCGTTGGTCGAGGGGCCGGCGGTTCGGGTTCCAGCGCTCGGACGGCCGCCTCTTCAGAGCCAGCCATCGGTGGTTTTGACGCGTCTTTTGACTCCTCTTTTTTGTCTTTTGATTCATCCTTTTTGTCGTCCATTGCCTTCAAGTTTGTGATGTCCGCCGATTTGCTCTTGTCTTCCGACGACTTCTCCTCTATTTTAAAGTCTTTGATCTCTTTTATTGACTCGTCTTTGGGCTCAGCCTTTGGCGCGTCTTTAGACTCTTCGGTCTTCTTCTCGTCCTTCACATCCAATTCGTCGCTCTTTTTCTTCTCTTCGACTTTGGGCTCCACTTTGGGCTCAGCCTTCTTCTCCTCTTTGGGTTTCTCGTCCTTCTTGTCTTTGGATTCGGGTTTCTTCTCTTCGGTCGTCTTCTTGGGCTCCGGTTTCTTGTCTTTGGGCGGACTCTTGGACTCCGGTTTCTTAGACTTATCGTCGGCTTTCTTAACATCCATTTTGATGCCGACCTTAGGGTCGGGCACTTTCTCCGACTTCCACACCTTCACCATCAAAATGGGCGACTCTTTCGTATAGATGATGGCGTGATGTCCGGGCCCTAAGTTGAGGACCCGTTGGCCGTGGTTTATGTAATAGTACTGAGCGTTCGGTTCGATGACATACACCGGCATATTGAACACAACGGTGGCGCCCGTCTGGGCCAACACACACCCGTTGGCGCCGATGATGAGCAGGTAATCGCGAGCGCTATTCTTGGCCACTCTGATGGCCAGTTGCCGGTCCTTTTCAAACCTAAACTTCTGTCCGGAAGCCATCGGCGGTTTCGCGCTATAGGAGCAGATACCGCCGCCAACGGTGGCGAAAGTCTCGGGCGGTATTACGTGTAAGACTGGGCCGCAGAAGAGTTTGTCCTTTTCCTGCCCTTTGCCGATGAGGTATAACTTCTTGGGGTCTTTGGCCTCAACGGCGTCCCGCACTTTGTCGGCGATCTGTTGGACGTCGAACTGACTGGCGATGCGTTTGTTGGTCACGGCTTTGGCCGCCTTCAGGGCGTCCTCTTTGGGCTTAACGGTCTTGAAGTCAGTTTTGCCGGATTTGTCTTTGATCTTCTCTTTGCAGTCAATCGGCCGTAATTTCATCGTCGACTTAATGGTCACCACTTTCTTCTCCACTTTCTCCGGATCTGGTATTGCCTTCAATTTGATTCCCATTTTGTGGTCTGATTTCTGTTCACAATTGTCACTATATCTGTCTTCCGCTGTCCAATGGATGTGTTTCGGTGACTATAATTACTATTTGATTGATTGGTGTAAAAATTTTGTGACAAATTATAACTGATTTTTTGAAATGAAATTTTGAATTGTGTTTTCAGTGTTGAACTTATCGTGAATTTAGTTTTTAATTAATGTTTTAATTAAAACTCAATTAAAACTCTCGTTCATTACAACAGTTAATGCAGTCATTTATTGTTGACATTAAAATACCGTTATTTTGTGGTAAAAAAATAATCTCATTATATCTATATCTTAAGACAGGACAACGATGTCATCTGAAGCGGTGGGCAATAGTCATAACAGCTTAGGGGTGGCCACGAGTCAGATCGAGTCCACTAAATCCAGGGGTTTCGACGCCCAGAAGTACAGCAAAGAGGACAGGGATCAGATTCCTTCTGGCAGTCCCNGACTCCTCTTTTTTGTCTTTTGATTCATCCTTTTTGTCGTCCATTGCCTTCAAGTTTGTGATGTCCGCCGATTTGCTCTTGTCTTCCGACGACTTCTCCTCTATTTTAAAGTCTTTGATCTCTTTTATTGACTCGTCTTTGGGCTCAGCCTTTGGCGCGTCTTTAGACTCTTCGGTCTTCTTCTCGTCCTTCACATCCAATTCGTCGCTCTTTTTCTTCTCTTCGACTTTGGGCTCCACTTTGGGCTCAGCCTTCTTCTCCTCTTTGGGTTTCTCGTCCTTCTTGTCTTTGGATTCGGGTTTCTTCTCTTCGGTCGTCTTCTTGGGCTCCGGTTTCTTGTCTTTGGGCGGACTCTTGGACTCCGGTTTCTTAGACTTATCGTCGGCTTTCTTAACATCCATTTTGATGCCGACCTTAGGGTCGGGCACTTTCTCCGACTTCCACACCTTCACCATCAAAATGGGCGACTCTTTCGTATAGATGATGGCGTGATGTCCGGGCCCTAAGTTGAGGACCCGNTCTTAACATCCATTTTGATGCCGACCTTAGGGTCGGGCACTTTCTCCGACTTCCACACCTTCACCATCAAAATGGGCGACTCTTTCGTATAGATGATGGCGTGATGTCCGGGCCCTAAGTTGAGGACCCGTTGGCCGTGGTTTATGTAATAGTACTGAGCGTTCGGTTCGATGACATACACCGGCATATTGAACACAACGGTGGCGCCCGTCTGGGCCAACACACACCCGTTGGCGCCGATGATGAGCAGGTAATCGCGAGCGCTATTCTTGGCCACTCTGATGGCCAGTTGCCGGTCCTTTTCAAACCTAAACTTCTGTCCGGAAGCCATCGGCGGTTTCGCGCTATAGGAGCAGATACCGCCGCCAACGGTGGCGAAAGTCTCGGGCGGTATTACGTGTAAGACTGGGCCGCAGAAGAGTTTGTCCTTTTCCTGCCCTTTGCCGATGAGGTATAACTTCTTGGGGTCTTTGGCCTCAACGGCGTCCCGCACTTTGTCGGCGATCTGTTGGACGTCGAACTGACTGGCGATGCGTTTGTTGGTCACGGCTTTGGCCG